GGATCGGTAGTTAAATGAGAAGGCGCCTCCTCACCAGCAGTAAAAGCATAAAGCTCTGCTCCCAGTGTTGCAGTGCTGGCACTTGACCTGATACTTTGCATGGGAATGTTCTTAAGTGAAGTGTATGAAACAGCCCATTTCTCTTCTGTCATCACAGAACACTGTGCTGTGCACACTGGCATCTTTTCTTAAGACATTTAAAGTGTTTTCAAATATTGACATACATTTATAGTGTTGAAATTTAAACTTTAATATTTTTAAAGTCTATAAATTAGGATTTTTTTAGACTATGTCATGTTAAAGGTTTCTAGACTTTGTTCTGAGTTGGAGGTTCACTATTGTATTTCATTAAATGTGATTGATTTCTAAGACTGTTACTTTAGTATCTATTTTGGATTGAGGAGAAAGTACATGGACATTGTTTATTTTTCTTAAAGATTAAAAAATAATATGTTTTAGCAACCAAAAGAAAAGAGCTTTCTGAAACAGGGACTGAATCAGGGATAATTTTTACATAGGAAAACAGCAAAATTTCAGTCTCAGTCTTTGGGTTCTGAAGTGTGGAATAATAAAAAAGACCACCAGAGTCCCCCCTTGCTAGTTGTTTGTAATTGTGCTTTGTGTCCTTAGGGCGATTCCAGGCTGCTGATCGTTCAGAGCTGATAAAGACCACAGAAAAGATAGATGTGTCCATGGATGTGAAGCCTTCCTGGACGACTAGAGATGTTGCATTGTCAGTGCACCGTGCTTTCAGGTGGCTTTTTTTGTTGGGCTTTTCTTAAAACAAGTGTTCTGTGGAAAAAAAAAGTGTTGATTGTTCAATACTCTTAACAAAATTGGAAACTTGAAATGGTGGGTGGGTATATTTTTTTAAGCTTTCAATTAGAGTTAAATGATCTGCCTATCAGTGTAGTAAAAAGAAAAGGTTGTTTTTACTTTTTGTGAAGTCTTGAGTTTTATTCTTATATGTGAAGAGCTTTAAAGAGTATTTTAGCTTTTCACTTTAGTAATGCACGCATAATGATGAAACCCTTTTCCATTCAGGATGATCGGTCTCTTTTCTCACGGCTTCTTGGCTGGCTGTGCTGTGTGGAATATTGTTGTGATATATGTTCTAGCAGGAGATCAGCTTTCTAACCTCTCAAACCTTCTGCAACAATACAAGACCTTAGCATATCCATTCCAGAGTCTTCTCTACTTGCTTTTGGCTCTGAGTACAATTTCGGCTTTTGACAGGTAAGACTTGTGACTGCAGATCCCTCTAACTTTTCTTCAGGAGGAAGTGTTGAGCAAAATGTGTCCCTGACTAACTATGATGTTTTCAAAATAGAATGATAGGATTTAATACTATTTTGACTTTTTAAAAAAGCCATTCTGTTTCTGTACTTTTTGGGGGAGATGGGGCTGCTGTGGATGAAAACATTCCCCAAAGTCTTAAGCCTTTCTGCATCAACTCTAAGTCGAGAATTTCACCCAGATATAATCAACTCGAAAAGTCCCAGATATCTTCCAAATGAACTGGATCAGGTATAGACAGGACTCTGGGTACTGTGCTAGTTTCCTAGGGCTGCTGTGATAAAGTACTGTAAACTCAGTGGCTTGAAACAAGAATTTATTCTCTCACAGTTCTGGAGTCTAGAACTCTAAGATCAAGGTGTCAGCAAGGTCGATTTGGTTTTGCAGGGCTCCAAGGGAGAGTTTATTCCATGCCTCTCCCCTGGCTTCCAGTGGTTGCTGGCAATCCTTGGTGTTCCTTGGCTTGTATATGCTTTACTCCAATCTCTGCCTCTGTTGTCACATGACAGTCTTCCTGTGTGTCTCTGGGTCTGTGTCTTTTGTTATAAGGACACCAGTCATACTGGATTAGGGCCCATTGTAATGGTCTCATCTGAACTTGATCACATCTGCAAAGACCCTGTTTCCAAATAAGGTCACGTTCACAGGGTCTAGAAGTTCAATATATCTTTTTGGGAACACAATTCAACCTGTTAAGAAAAACAACTTATAACGTAATGATATGGGTAATAGGATGAGGTAGAATCTGATGAAATTTGCAGGTCAAGTTTAAATTGTTCCTTTTTAACTCTAAAGGAATGGTGGCTACAATAGTCTTCTAGTTAAATGTTTTATGTGGCCTTTGTAAATAAGATTCTTTCTTGTGTATTAAGTATTTAGTATTAATAATAAACTGTAGCTAAAGCTCAGTAATCGACAATATATATGGTAGCATTAAAATAGAGAAGGAAGAAAATATAGTCCAGAGAGCGCAGTTTTGTAAGAAGTGTACAGTTACACTGTGATGGGAGGCTTTTATATTTTCTAGGATCGACTTTGCTAAAACATCAGTAGCAATCAGAAATTTTCTTGCCCTGGATCCAACAGCTTTAGCATCTTTCTGTAAGTAAATAGTCTAATTTGATAACTGTGTAACTTTGGATCAGGAAAAGTATAAATTTATCTTTAAAATGATTACATGTTATTGCTACTTATAAATATTACTTATAGATATTCAGTGGAATTTTTAATTAAAAAACATGGTAGGCATACTTTTGTTAGAATTATTTTTCAATAGAGGTTATCTAAATAACTTTTAAAAGTTTGCTATCTGTATTGCTTAATAATTAACTTTTGTGTTTTCTACTTGATATTATACAGATTAAGCTGATATAGCATTTCAGTAACAAATACTATTTTATATGTTTTTGATAATTTGCAATAAATTTTGTTCTAATTATGAGAATATTAATAAAACTAATTTTAGGACCTTGAGTAAATCATTTAATTTCTTAAAAGATCTAGACTCTTGTCAGTCTAATGATGAAATAGTAAGCATATCAAAAGACCCTTCTTTACCTGTATTCTTAAAAAATAATGTAAGACTATCCAGCCTATTGAGATTGACCAAGTGAAATACTTTTGTATCATCATTCCCCAAAGTACAGATTATTTTTGACCTTAGTCTGTAAAGTAAAAAATAAACTGGGTTGTTAAAAATACATTATTAGTAATTCATTTGTCTTTTTCTCAGTGTACTTTACTGCTCTTATATTATCTCTGAGTCAGCAAATGACAAGTGACAGAATCCACCTTTACACACCTTCTTCTGTTAACGGCAGCCTCTGGTAAGAATTCACAGTAGCATTCGTCACTGTTGATGGTAATAACAGCAGCAGTGGGAGTAATGATACTGTCCTTATCCTCTCTTTTACTTCTTTTCATCTGTAAGTAATAATGAAGGTCCTTTTTCATTTTCAAAATTATAGCAAAAAAAAGCCCTATTCCATTGGTTAATGGGTAACTATTGTTATTTACTCCTGCGTTTTTAATGAAATGTCTGCTTTTTATAAATCTGCTTTTTAAATCTCAAGTTATGAACTTATTTACAAAACAGACTCACAGACATAGAAAACAAACTGTGATTATGGGGATGGGGGTGCGGGAATGGGTTAGGGAGGGATAAATTGGGAGTTCGGGCTTTGCGGATACTAACTACTGTAAATAAAATAGATAAACAGCAGGGTCCTATTATATAGCATAGGGAACTATATTCACTACCTTGTAATAGCCTATAATGAAAAAGAATATGAAAAGGAAAAAATATATATGCATAACTAAATCACTATGCTGTACACCAGAAATTAACGCAGCATTGTAAACCAACTATACTTCAATTTGAAAAAAAGAGAGAAAATCTCAAGTTATGGCTTTAAAATAAACCATTACATATGAACTGGAGGAGCTCTACCTACCCCGTTACCCACAATCAGGGAGCCCAACACCCCAGAATAGTGATGGGAGTGGGTACCTGAGATGGAGTCAGAAAACCAAGCGGTGCTAGAAGGAAAGCAGACCAGGGACAGCCAGCCTCCGCAGATCGGTGGCCAAGCATGAGGGTGACAGGACGGCTGAGGTTCCAGTTCACAGAACTCAGAGGGGCATTCTTTTTTGAGAAAGTGGCTGGGGCATGAGGTAAAGAGAGAAAGAAAAGATTGACAAGTAGCACTACAGTAGTTGGAAGGGAAACTTTTGAAATCTTTTAGCAACACTGAATTTCTATTCACAATAGTGTACAAAGCAAATCTGTTTAGAATTTAGTAACCTTTGTGCCTTTGTTCTCGTGGTGTATATGGTGTATTTGATAGCAGAAGTTTTATTTTATGCTTGTTACTCCTCTAGATGAGGAACCTGCTACTTTTTTTTTAAGTTTATAAAATAGATGTATTTGGATATATGGGCCAAAATGAAGACATTTCTAATTATTATTTCTGTACCTTTAGGGCAGAAGGAATTGAGGAACAGGTTCTCCAGCCATGGATTGTGGTGAATCTGGTGGTGACCCTTCTGGTTGGATTATCTTGGCTATTTTTGTCTTACAGGCCAGGCATGGATCTTAGTGAAGGTATTAAAGAAAAAATAATGTATCATGAAACTTCTATAATGACTTTATAAATCTTATTTTAATGAGTAGAGCTTATAATAGTCCAATAACAAAGGTATATTTAAAATAAAATAACACAAGAAGAGTAACAATAAAGTAGTGAAACAGGACGTTAAGAGAAGCAGGGAGGAATGTGTGGGAGAGCTGGAGCCTCGAAGTACTTATCGAGGGGCTTCTGTGGTCCTTCTGCATATTTTGGAGGTAGTTCTTCTCTTGGAACCCTCTTCACTTCTCTGAGTCTCTTTCTGATCAAAGATCTCTTAATTTGAAATCACACTTCATGTATTAGCCTTTATTAGACACATATTCAATTTATTCTTACCTCTTCCTCTACTTGGCACAAATTCTTAACCCTTCATTGTCTAATGAAGTGTTTAGTAATCCTACCTTCACCGTGCCCAGGGTGAAGTGAGATTTACTAATCTCTAGCCCCCAGACCCTGCTCGGAACACCTGAAGGAGGAGAATCACACGAGCAAACTCCTTGACCTTCAGCACTGCTTTAGGGACGCTTAGTATTTGTATTGTAAGTGGTATTTCCTGGGCAGGTGTTCCACGATTTTGCCATTGACTCTGATATTTCCTGGACTTTGGTTATTACTTTATTACTGATTTGTTAAACATCCTGAGCATTTAACTGCAGTTTGATCAACTGATTACAACCTATGTCTCAGAAGTCTTGGAACTGAGAATCTTTCCAACATTTCCATTTGTAAAAACCAAGACAGAAAAATGTAATTGTATTATGTATTTACATTCATGAATGTACCTTTTCTCATGATGTTTCACTAATTATTCCTTTTGATATATTTAAATGTTAAAAAAATCTTTTTAGGCTTTATGTATTTCACTGTTTTTCTTTCACTCAGTATAGTTTTTAGTCATTCAGAGATTTTTTTACCTAATACATCAGGGTACTTTATTCTATTAGGTTCCTAAGGTTTTCTCTTTTTATATTTCTTGGGATTTTAATAAATTATGTGTCTATGCTAGGTAATAGTTTAAATGTAGAAATGTCAACGAGTAACATTCTGCACTGTGGTTGGGATTGAAGTGCACCTAGCTGGCTAGTATAGTATTCAGTCTGTATCAGAAAGTGTATGTTACTTACTAAATATTTACAGAATCCTGCTCTCTTTTAGGGCCATGTGAGTCAAATAACATTTCCATGTGGATAAAAAAAAGTAAATATAAAATGAGAATGATAGTACTTGCTTTTAGGGTTGTCGTGGTGATTAAATGTGGTAACATAAATTATTTAAGATATCCTTTCATAATGATTTCCAAATAAGTGCACTAGATTATCTGCTGGCAGAAATTACACAGATAATTTCACACACACCTCATGTTAGTTCCAGGTCCTCCTCTACATCTCTCTCTCACATTTTAAGTTTTCATGATCACTATAGAATTAGACATCTTAGCTGTTTAATGATCCTGGATTCTCTAAATGATTTAAATTTCCTGGTAAGAGTAACTATATTTTCTCCACTGTGTCTGTTTTATTTTGGGGGGGTTGACAGTACATTCAAAACTTGTACATTTCAGAATGCAAACCTTGTACATTTGTCACTAGCTCACCTTTTAAATCAGATTTCAGTATCAGTAACTCTTACACTTGTACTCGAGGGCTTTCTATTACCATGTATTGTATCAGTATTTTAAGAGACTGCTTATAACTCAGCTGCACAACTCTTTTTGAGATACTGGGAAACTACTTTGAGTGTGATTTGTTCATCTTCTCTCCCAGAGCTGATGTTCTCCTCTGATTTGGAAGACTACCCCGATAAAGGAATCAAAGCCTCTTCATAGTGCCAACTCACCTTCAGAAGAATGACCCAGTATTTAGAACTTTTTCCATTCTGGTTTTTAAACGTATTTTTATAAGCTATGTACAGATGTATTTGGAATTGATTTTTTGATTACATAATACTGAAAAATTTCTCAAGATTATGGAAAATGTTAAAACTATATCTGTAATTTATACCCAAACATGATTTTCTATAGCGTTATTGTCTTAATGACAAAGATAATGAACTAGGAACCAGCAGGTGAAAGTGTTTTTTCCTGTTTTCTCAAGTTAGTTTCATTTATAATCATTATCTTTAAAAGCACTAATACAGTGTTTTTTTTAAAAGCCATAACTTTAGTGTTATGAAATATATATCAGGTTTCAACATAAATTTAGGGAATAGGGAAGAAGGGGGGAAAAGATCTTCATTATTTATTTAATGTCTCCTTACTGAATAAATTGAAATATGAAATTTGTCTTTTCTGAAATTGGCCCAGTGGTTGTATATCATGTAATAAGTATAAATGTAATGTTATGCAGCTTTAAAGATGCTTTATGGCTAATAAAAATGACATGTAACTTTTGTTTGAAAAATTTTATAACCATTAAAGTTTATTTCCCTCTAAAACCTATACCAGTGGTTCCCATATCTGGTTGCACATCAGAATCATATAGGGAACACTAAAAACCATATATAGCAAAAGAGAAGGTGAGCAGGCCAAGAACTCAGGAGAATAAAGCAGAGGCCTCTGAGTTTATTAAGCTAACACTCAGTTGACCTCTGCAGACCCTTTCCTTTGTCTCTTTTTACACAAGAAGAAGCATGAGTAGAAATACATTGTGCCTATTCCTAAGCTCTTTGTCAGAGATCTTTGGCTCTCATGGAAATTCCACACTTGAGGTGGATCCTGCACTGGAAGACGTCTCTTCAGAGCTGTACCCAGTGGTGCCTCAACTGGCCTGAGACCTAGAGCTCAAGACAGTGATAAGATTCACCATGGGAAAAGCTGTCTCAAAGGCTCAGAAGCACATCAATAAAACTGTTGGGCCTTCCTGATCAGCAAGCCACTGAATGTTGTGGAACTGAAGAGGACTGAGAAATTGATGCTGGAGATGGCTGGTTCTGAGAATAGGTCTATATTTGGTACACACACCTTAGTAGGGAACATCTTGGTGTATGTGAGGCTGGAGCTGCTGAAAACGGAACTCCCCCGCTGTCATAGAATTGTAAACCAACTGGCAATCCTGAAGTCACCCTGCGAGTTCCAGCTTTCACTGTGATCAGCGGTGGTTCCTATGCTGGCAGCTCAGGAGTTTGTGATCCTTCCCATCAGCAAACTTCAGGGAAGCCATGCTCATTAGAGCTGAGGCTTACCACACCTGAATAGTGTCAGCAAGGAGAAATCCAAAAGAACCAATGTAAGGGATTATGGTAGGCTAAATAATGTCCCCCAAAGATGTCCATGTCCCAGTCCCTGGAATTTGGTGGAGCCATACAAATCTATCATCAAGGAGAACAGTGGTGTCTATCAAAAATCCTTTGGCCATGATGACTGGGAGACTTGGGGGAAGTTCACCGCTAATGTATGTCTCCATGATTGGCTCAAAGTCGTAATTTTTCTTGCCTTTCTCCACGTATCACATGTTGGTTACAGCGATATGCTCAGTAGAGTAACTGAAGTATCAAAAGGTAAGATGCCCCATGGGGTTTTTGTCATTGTTTTTTGGGTACAAAATACTCAGTAACTAATACCCCCCAAATAGAACAAAACATACATAGACTGCTAGGCCCCATTCCCAGAGATTCAGATTCATTAGGTCTGAGGTAGTACCTGGAACACTGCCTTTTAGAAAAGATAATGCTGGTGGTTGCTATAGCCAGTAGACTAGCCAGCATTTGGGACCTCTGGCCTACATGTAGAACCTGTAATTTATTATGAAACAAAGCTTGGATTGCGATAGATGATTTGATCTTGGCCAAATTTCCTAGGTTTGTGAGAGGACAAAAAAGATGAAGAAATGAATAAAACGTGGTACTTGCCTTTTTAGAGGCTCATAATCTGGTCAGAAGACATAGATGGGCACAGGAGTTGAAGGATCTAGGAAAGTATTATGGGTAAGGGGTGTGTGCGGGTCCTTTGTGGAGGTGGGGGCAAGGAAAAGGCCATACATATGAGTGAGCTCTGAGAGATTTTTATTTGGAAACTATCAAATGTAAAAATGCTGAAAGACTAGTAACAGCAACTTTAATCTACACCAATGTAGATTATTAGTTGTTAAAATTTGGCCACATTTGCTCATTTGCCTTCTTTATACACCCCCCTTTTCTTCTTGCTAAATCTTATGAAAGTAAGTTGCTAACATCATGCTGCTTCACCCAAATGTTTAAGTACGCATCCTCCAAAAAGAACATTTGCCTACATAGCACAACATCATTCAGATAGCTCGGAAACAATGATTTCAGGTCATTCTCAAAGTTTCCCAGTTGTCTCTCAAGATCTAGTCAAGGTTAAAAAAAAAAGGAATCTAGTCAAGTTTTACACATTTCGTTTGGTTATCTCTTAATTTAAAATGATCTCCTTATCTTTTTCCCCCAGGACAATTTTTAATTGAAAATCTTACTGAGGTAAATGTAGATTCATGCAAACTTAAGAAATAATGCAGAGAGATCCTTTGTACACTTGGCCAGTGCCTCCAAATAACATTTTACAAATTGATAGTGTAATATCACAACCAGGATATTGACATTGATTTGACCCACCAATCTTGTTCAGGTTACTCCAGTTATACTTGTATGTACTGGTGTGTGTGTAGGTGTGTATTAAGTCTATACAGTTTTATCAGTTGTATGGGTTTGTGTATCTACCACTGCAGTCCAGATACTAAACAAGCCCCCAAACCATTAGAATCTCTCATGTTGCCCTTTTACAAATACACGTACCTCCTTCCCACATCCCCCTCCCTGCACCCCTAATTCTAAGCCCTGGCAACCACTAATCTGTCTTTTTATTTGTGAAATTTTGTAACTGAAAATGTTATAAGTTGAATCATACATTATGTAATCTTTGGGGATTAGCTTTTTTTCACTCAGCATAATTCCCTGGAAATTCATCTCAGCTGTATGGCCTAGTCCATTCCTTTTTACTGCTAAGTCATATTCCAAGGTACTTATATAATGCAATTTACTTATTTAAGGACATCTGAGCTGATTCCACTTTTTGACTATTATGAATAAAGCTGCTGTGAACATCTGTATATAGGTTTTTGAGTGAATCTAAGTTTTTACTTTTCTGGATAAACACTCAGAAGTGTTGAATTGTATGGTAATTACATGTTTAGTTTTTTAAAAGAAATTGCCAGACTGTTTATAAAGTGGCTGTACCATTCTATATTTCCCCGTAACTTCCCTCATGATTTTTTTTGTTTTTGATGAAGAATCCAAACCAGTTTTTTCAAAAATGTTCCACCTCCATTTTTTGTTTGTTTTTTTCCCTCCTAAAAGTATCATTCAATTTGTTTCTCTGTTTCTGAATTTCCTGTAGACTAGAATGTTAGGTCTAGAGGTTTAATTAGATTTAGGTTAGTTTTTTGGGTTTTTTTTTAAATGTTGTATTACATGAACCCTAAGGAAGTCATTGTGCTGATGGACAGCAAGTCTCTGGCACAGTGATTAAACACGACACATCACAGACCCCAAAGTGACCACAAACATGTATCAAGGGTTTGGGGCTATTGTGCCATGTGCCCTGAATGAAAGGAGAGGATCAGGTTCCTGACACATAAGAACTCTTATCTTCTGAAACAACTAATTCTAAAAATTCAGCTACACTTTAATAAGAAATTTTATAAGAAATTATAAATTTAATATTTATATTTAATATTTTTATTATTTATTTATAATAATTTATATTTAATAAATTATAAATTTAATAAGAAACCCTCCCCCCCAAACTCAACTAATTCTAATAGTGTTAGGCCACTGGTAGGGACATGCCAAGCAGCAGCTTGGAGACAGCAGTTAAATCAGCTTTGGGGGTACGTGTACAGGGTTATAAGACTTAACTGAAGGCTTAACTCTGAGGCGGCCTCTGCATAAAAGAAAAACAGATTCCATACAGAGCAGCCGCCAAGTAATGATCCTTAGGCAGTAGAGGACACTTTGGAGTCCCTTGGTTTCCATATTAAGGAATCAAAAATTGTGTGGTCAGTAAAGAAACTCTGAAAGTTTCTGGTCCACCAGCATGCTCTGACTTCCTTCTAAGGGGGACTGAAATGTCCTGATCAAGTGCTTACGGCTGACCCACCAGGCTCGCTAAACTAGTCTGCCCTCCAAGCCCGCCAGGGGCCAGGAGCCTGGCCTGAACGTGCGGGTCACGCGGGTCCGCGCGTGCGCAGGAAAAGTGAGGGACAGGCGGGGAGAGGGTTGCGCCTGCGCAGTAGGGGGCCGTCGGTTAGGCGCAGACCTGCCCAGCCGAGGATGGAGGGATGGAGCCGCCGCAAGAGATGGCTAAGGTTTCCAGCACAGCAGATAACCACAACAGGCGGGTCCATTCCCTATACACAGAGCCAGTACTTCAGAGGATTCCCCCTACCAACTTAGAAAACACGCACACCAGGGGGTCGGAGTTTTCCTCCGCAGCCCTTAGCTCCCAGGAGCATGGCAAGACGTCGGATTTGCCCAAGGACGAGGGCAAGAAGCCCACTGCGCACCGGATACTAAATGTGAGTTGAGGCCTGGAGGGCAGAGTCTGTTCCCTACCCGACCACCTAGAGGATAGGGAAGGACAAAGGGGTCAGTGCATGCAGATGGGAGGGAGGGAGACCCGAGGAAGAGAGAAAGGAGGTAGTACCAGAGGAAGAGTTTACTTGTGGGACCCTGGTAATTATCTATTAACTGCTAAATGAAGACAGTAATTACTACCTGCTTTAGAGGGCTGTCTGAAGAACTAAAGGAGGTAATGATAGAAAGTACTTAACACAGTGCAAAGCACCAAGTAAAGTGTTAATGTTAGCTGTTGTCATTATCGTCATCACCATCATTGGGATTTCATTTACATGGTTAAAGGGCTACACTCCTGAAACGTTAGTTACCCGTGTTTTCAATTCCTGAGGTTCTTACAGATGAACCTGTAGGAGCAAACCTGCATCATGTATGCAGAGTGAATTATTGGTCTCCTGTTCCTAATTAGGTAAATTTATATTTGAAATGTGGGAAACTCTTAAGTTTACCATTTAGTGGTACTGCCAGAGCATAGAGGAAATGGAATAGGGGAATCACATTGAAACTCACTTTTTCAAAGTTTGTTAGAGGATTATTAGGAAATTTTACATTCTCTGTTAGTTTTAATTTATTTAAAATAATATAATATTTATCAGGCAACAAATGGTACACAAAAAGATGATGTCCTTTCCTGTAAAATTTAGGGGTTGAATTACTTGATGTGTAAAGTACCCTCTAAATTCTGAAAACTTAGGATACCCTTGCTTCATTGTTACAATAAATTGAGAGCACAGTAGGATTTAGCTTTAGGATAATACAAGGAGAAATTGTGAAGTTTGTGTTGAAAGACATGTACTTGGAAACCTAGGCCTTAGGAGGTGTTTGTTGTATGTACTATTAAGGAATTTGGACTTTATTCTGTAGAATGGTGACTTCCAACTGTTTTGAATATGAGGATCCCTTTTTGTTGTTAAAAGAAATAAAAGAAGAAGAAATCTCTCCACGATGAAAGTAGCTGGCTCTTTACTATCTACTGACTGGGAAAATCTATAATGATAAAAAAGCTCCCATGGCACAGTGTTGTTAATGAAATTTGCTTAAATTTGGACAAAATAACATCTACATACATTCAAAAAAGTAGTGCACATATATGCAAGGTACATTGTTTATCCAAGTTTGATTTCCCAAATTATTTGACCATAGAATATTTTAATATTTTGATGGAATAACAAAAAGAGCTTAAGAAATATGCACTTGGATTTAGTTATAATGACCTCGTAAATGAATTCTTTTCAGACAAACAGATCCAGAGGAATGAGTTTATGTAGTACAGATGTTTATTATACAGTAAACTTAGAGTAATATGATAAGTATATGTTATTTAAATTATTATAACAACTACTATAAGATACATGATGGAGATCATTGAACATGGAATGGGTGATCCTCTTCAATGTAGTAAATTCTGTTTATGCATCAGTACACCACAAATGGAACATTATATATTTGGCAACAGATAATGTCTTCTATGACTTCTTGGAATTTTTTGATGTGTGTATGGCACATGATTTTTGAAAGTGGATTATCATAGGGTAATGAGAACAGCTATATAAGTAGGTTCAGTATTTTCTGTACAAAATACAAATTTTTCAAAACTTTAAAGCAAATATGTCTCTCAGAGATGTCTCACATCTCTCAATACTTCTTGGAAAATAGCACTTTGCAGATAATGCTTCGAACATGTTTGATTTCAAGGATATTCAAAGTTGAGAACCTGCTACAGGTCATAGGAAAAGCTGGTGGATTTTAAGCAGGAGGATGACATAGATCAGATATGCTTTGCTGAAAAAGTTGTTTTGGTTATCAGGATTTAAGGTTTAATTAGAGAAATAGTAGAGTGAGGCCGATAAAGTAAGATCTCTGAGAAGGTAGAAAAGTATGCGTTCTGGAGCACATGTGGAGGTATCCTCCTGAGATAGGAAGAAGGACATCTCTTCTTCCAGTGTTTACTTCATCTTTGGATCACCAGTATCCAAATATTCTGGGGGTGCTTGTTTATAACCTGGTTGATTCCTGGGCCTCCACCTTAAACCTGCTGAATCAGAAGGATGGGGCCCTGTGAATATGCTCAATTCTCAAACTATCCCAGGTGATGCTTAGATTCATGCTTGAGAATCACTACATATAGAAGAAAAAGCTAGGCACTGATGCGAGGATTATAGATTGTGGGTGTAGACTGCAGAAGGAAGCAGGTGGAACCAGAAGAGTCTGATGAATTGGATGAAAGAAAAAGGAGAGAGAAGTAACTGGAGATCTCAATGAGAATTTTAAAATGGTTTATCAAATGTAAATTACTGAGAGTACTGGAAGGATTAAGTAGAGATAGTGCAGAGATCGAGGGATATGTAGTTGATGACCTTAGTGAAAATGTAGATAATCTATCCCTCACCTTAACTATAGTTATTATTTATGTATGTTAAAACTATTGATTTCTGTGTGTTGATTTCATATCCTGCTTCCTTATTGAATTTTTAAAACATTTGAGTTAGTGTTATTAATTCTCTAGGGTCTTAGGTATATTCTTAGGTCATCTTCAAACAGAGATTGTTTTACTTCTATTTTTCCAACTCACTTGCCTTTAGTTGATTTCTCCTATCTAATTGTTGAGTAGTGGTAGAGATAGTAGGCAATTTTATTTCTGATCTTAGTAAATGCCTTCAGTGTTTCCCCATCAAATGAAATAACTAGCTTCAAGACTGGCTTAATTCCTATTTTCTTGAGTGTTTTAACAGGAAAACGTGTTGAATTTTGTCAGAGGCCATTTAAACATGTATGGAGATAATCGTATAATTTTTCTCCTTACATCTGTTGATGTGGTGTTTCATATTAATGAATTTACTAATAATTCCTAGAATAAATCCCACTTGGTTATTGCATATTAATTTCTTTATGTTGTTACATTCTTTAAGTTGTCTAGATTCTGTTTTTACTATTTAGTATTTTTGTATCCATATCTATGAGATATTCATCTATAATTTTCTTTATGAATTTAGGTATCAATGCTATGCTTGCTTCATAAAAAGAATAAGAAAGTCTTCTTTAATGGTGCCATGGGATATCTAATTTTTTAATTTGGTGGAATTCCCTGTGAAACCACCCAGGTCTCGTGCTTTTTTGTGGTGATAGTTGCTAACTTTCTCTATTTCTTTTATGGAAAATGGTCTGTTTAAGCTGTTTACACTAGCAGAATCAGTTTTGTTAAATGATATTTCCTTAGGAAATGATACATTTCATTTAGGTTCTAAAATATATTCATAGTTCTGCAAACTGGTCTTCTATGATTTTTTAAAAATCTTGTCATTTCTCATTTATATTTTATCCCCATTTACTGATTAAGCTAGCTAGTGGTTAGATCAGTTTGGGAACTGATTTTTTAACAGTATTGAATCTTTCCACCCATGAACATGGAATGTTTTCCATTCATTTAGATCTTTAATTTCACTCAGGAATGTTTTGTATTTTTCAGTGTACCAGACTTACATTTCTTCTGTTAGATTTACTCCTAAGTATTTTACTATTTTGATGCTACTTCTAATAGAATTGTTTTCTTCATTTCCAGATTGTTCATTGCTATTATATAGAAATGCAGTTTTTACGTTTTGTTCTTGTACCCTGAGACCTTGAGGAACTCATTTATTAGTTCTAGTAGTTTCTCTTTTTTCTTTCTTTCTTCCCTTTTTTTTTTTTTGGTGGATTTCTTAGGAATTTCTATATACAGGATTGTGTCACCTGCAAATAGAGATAGTTCTTTCAAATATAGATACCTTTTGATTTCTTTTTCTTGTCTCATTGCACTGGATAGAACCTTCAGTACAATATTGATTAAAGGTAATGAGAGTGGACACACTTGCCTTACCAATCTTAGAGGGAAAGCATTCAGTCTTTCACCTTTGAGTATGATGTTGAAGAATTTCCCATTTATTCCTAGTCTGTTCAGAGTTTTTATTAAGAATGCATTTTGGATTTTGTCAAATACATTTTCTGTATCTATTGAAATGATCATGTGATTTTTGTCCTCTATTGGACATATTTATTAATATGACTTATTACATTAATCTTATTACATTGATTTTCAGATGGAAAAATCCCACTTTGTCATGGTATATGGTCCTTCTTATATGTTGTTGGGTTTAGTTTACTAATATTTTGTGGAGGATTTTTGCGTCTATTTGTGAGGGATACAAATTTGTTGTTGTTTTGTCATCTTGTGATGTCTGCCTGGTTTTGGTATTAATGTAATACTGACCTCATAGAATAAATTGGGAAGTGTTCCTTCCTCTCCTTTTTTTCTTGGAAGAATTTGTGAAGGATTGTTATTATTTCTTCTTTGCATGTTTGATAGAATTCACCAATGAAACAATCTGGGCCTAGGTTTTTTGTTTGTTTTGTTTTTGTTTTTGTAGAAAGAGCTTTAATTACTAATTCAATTTCTTTAGTTGTTATAGGTCTTTCCAAATATTCTTTCTTCTTGATTCAGTTTTTGTAATATATGTCTTTATAGGAATTTTTCCATTTCATCTAAATTGTCTAACTTGTTAGCATGAAACTGTTTATAGTTAGAGTAGTTACCTTATATGGCAATAAACTTTGCAGATGCAATGAAGTTGAGGATTTTGAGATGGGGAGATTATACTGGATTATCTGATGGACCCTACCTATAATCATAAATGTCCGTATAACAGTGAGGTAGAGGGAGATTTGGGCACACTCAGAAGAGAAGGCAATGTGATCATAAAGGTAGAGATTGGAGTAATATGACCACAAGCCAAGGAATGTTGGCAGTTACCAGAAGCTGGAAGAGGCAAGAATGAATTTTTCCCTAGAGCCTCTGGAGGGTGTATCGCCCCACCGGCTCCTCAATTTTGGCCCAGGGGTACTGATTTTAAATTTCTGGCCTTCACAACTCTGAAAGAATAAATTTTTATAAGGTCAGTGGTGACGTCCCCCTTTCATTCTTGATTTTGGTCATTTGTGACCTCTTTTTTCTTCAGTCTAGCTAAAGGTTTTTCAATTTTGGTGATCTTTCCAAGAGTTCACCTTCATTTTCATTGATTTTCTATTTTTTAAAATCTCAATGATTTTTGTTCTAATCTTTATTTTCTTCCTCCTGCTTACTTTGGGTTTAGCTTGCTCTTATTTAAGCATGGTTGTTTAATGCTATCAGTTTTCTTTTAAGTACCACTTTAGCTGCATTCCATGAATTTTATGTTGTTTTTTCATTTTTATTCAGCTCACAATACTTTCTGATTTCTGTTTTTTTCTTTTTCTTTGACCCATGGCTTATTTGCAAATATGTCTTTAATTTCCAAGATTTGTGTATTTCCCAAATTTCCTTGTGTTCTTTATCTTTTATTTTGTTGAAATAGAAGAACATTCTTTGTATGATTTCAATTCTGCAAAATTTATTGAAACTTATTTTATGGTCTAGCATATTGTACATCCTGCAGAATGTCCTATATGCATTTAAAAACATGTATTTTGGGTTTTTTTTGTTGTTGTTCAGTATATTTTTTTCTGTGAGATTCATTCGTGTTGTATGTGGGTGGTTACTCATTTTCTTTGCTTTATAATACTGTGTGATTATATTACATTGTATTTATTCATTCTGTTGATAATGGATGTTTGGGTTGTTTCTACTTTTTGGCTATAGTGAATGATGCAATGTCTTTTGATACACATATGCCTACATTCTGTTGCGGATATATCTAGGAATAGAATTTCTGGGTCATTATTGTGTGTATGCTCAACTTCAGTACAAAATACCAAAGAGTTTTCGAAGAGGGTATAGCAATTTAAATTCCTACTGGCAGTGTATTGGACTTCTAGTTACTCCATGTCCTTGCCACTTGATATTGTCAGTCTCTTTATGTTTAGCTGTCTGAGAGATGTGTAGTTGTATCTCTTTGAGGTGTTAAACTTTCATTTCCCTGGTAACCCAGTATTTGATTTTTAATACTGCTATATTTGAAAAAGATACCTTCAAAGATTTGAAGTTCCAAATGGAAGAGATGTATCTTGGATGAGCCTAGTAAATTACAGTACTGATTTTTCATTTATATTATTCAAAGTTTTTAGTCCAGATTTTTTGAGTAAAATGTTACTTCTGTGATTAATTATTTCTGGTAAGCTAATTGGAGAGCATTGCATTTTTTATATTTCAAAGGAAAAATGGTCTCTGACCCTGCTGAAACATCATGAGATTTTTAAACAAATAAGAAAATTGTTTCTAAGATTTTTATATGAGATACCATGACCTTCTAGGCTGCTCATAATACATTTTTGCACATAAAATAACATTAACTATAAATATTTCCAATAGTTTTCATAATGTTCTCACCTTAACATGAGTTTATTTCAAAAAGAAAGTCATATGCACATTCATTAAAAGGTCACCTACTTACTGTGAAAGGACATATTAAGAAATACATATTTTTAAATATTTGCCAGTTTACATACTACTGACAGTCACCACACAAAAGTTTAGCTAATCAGAACATTTTTCTGTTTGTAAAACTGAAGTGCATGATGCATCTTTGCCAACTTTTTAAAATGCCTTACTGTGAGATTTCTTATGATCAGTTCTCATCTATTTGCAAAGCAGACTAAATATTCTACTACTCAAGGTAATATAATTGGCTAACCCACTGAAATAGCAAACACAATACCCTGAAAGCAGGAGAGCTCTGATGTGAACCTCTCTGAGCATGAAACTCACTTTTCCTCAGAATTTTTGTTCTGTACTTACATAGTCAGCTGTATGTGCTTGCTTTCTTATTTGTTAAAGAAAATGGAAAATTCTAATATCTTCTGCCACTACTCTAGAGGATAATCCCTGGGCCCTGCTGTGAATGTCCTTGTTTCATAGGGACAGAGAACCACAGAGGGTGAAAAGGAGTCATTGCTCCTGAGCTCGGGCAGGGAAAAAGAATTGAAAAAAATCTCTTTTAGAGTTTCATTCCATTTACCTGTAGCTTTTACAATAAATGGCAAGGTCTGACTGATCAAATAAATTATTCTTTTTCCATGTATAAGATTCTGTGCAGAGAATGAGTAAAGATAAAACTCTTTCTTCTTGTATATTTCAATACACAGCCAAAATATAAATAAAACACTGTAGTAACTGATGACAAAACCCCACAGTGTCATTGCTTTTTACCTGCCTTCAACACCAGGCTGAACTTCCCAAGGGCAGGAACGCTTGAAGCCGAAATCAGTGCAGTGCTAGGCACGGAGTCATGCCAGCACATTAGTGAATGTTAATTCTCTGTGAGGATAGTGAGGTTGCCCTTAGCAAGAGGAGTGGGAGCGTCCTAGGACAAGGTAGGCATGTAGGCTAGTGGGCTTTCAGAGAAAACTGGAGGGGAGGAGAGTGGGCCAGAAAGGTCACTGGGGAGGAAGCGCAGAGCAGTGTGAGTGAGGGTACAGCCTTTTAAGAGAAGTGCCACCAGGAACTTCTGTTCAGGGTGCGGCCAAAAGCAATAGGGCGGAAAGACATAGTGGGATTAACTAAAATTAAAATTCTCTGTGGGTTCAGGAGAAATTCTAGGTGGTGTCAGAGGCTTTACGAGACTAGTCTGGAAATTTTGTTCAGGGTTCTAATAGAATTTGGCAAAGAGTTGTTTTGCTCATGCTGATGCTGTTGAAGAGAGCTCTGCCGGTATGAGGTAGGAAAAGTGAAAAGCTAATAAAATGAGGAGTTGTTACCAAAATGCCAGGTTGTTAAGGATAAATTAAGTATTAGTATTCTAAAGGATTTTTCCCCCAATTATTTTGTAGCTATTAAAATTGCATATTCAAAGTAGACTTCCATAATAAGGTTATTAAAACATTAGAAAGTATGAGGTTCTGTATTAAATACATACACTGTATACAGATTGATATTTTTGTGACAATAACAGTACAGTAATTGTCATTCAGTTACCTTAAACTATGAGTTAATCATGTGTAAAACACACTAAACCAATCAGTTGCAAGAATAACAAAAAGATCCAAGATATGTAAAACAAATGTTTTCAGTACAACTGACGTATTTGTTGTATACTTTAAAACAAAGTTTTCAGCATAACTAAGGATTTATTATATACTATAAAAATTAAACAAGTGATTCTTGAAAGACATATAACAACAAAGATTCCTGAGAAACTATTGCTTATAAATAAGGCCATGTTGATTCAAATTCAGCTAAGGTTGGGAATAAATATAATTCTTTTCAGGTTAGATTTTTAATAGGCAGTTTATTCACGATTCCCTTTACCTTTCCCCTCCCCTCCCTTTCTCTTTACTTTATTTTAAAAATTTATATTAAAATGTCTTGTAATTTTTAAAGGCTCACCATTATGTGTAGTGACCAGAGCCCTTAAGAACAAAGTTAAATATCAACCCACATGTATCAGTTAGTGTGAAGTTGCTCTGGACAAAATCACACAACTAAAAACCAAAAGCCATCTATTCACAGCTCCTTCCCAGTGTGCCTACTATTCCAAAGGGTTAAATTCTCATTCCTTCAGTGGCTGTTAACTGAAGGAATACTGGGATAATTTCCAAGCAGGATTACTGCCATTTGTGGGATACAGGACCTAATTCACATCAGATTGAGTCTGGAATGTGGTAGTGACGATTTTTTGTAGTTCGCAAGGAGAACACATTGCTCATGTTATTATGCACTTCTCTTCTCTCTCATGACGCCCTTAATGATTTTATATTTAATTGTATACATTTTGTTTCTCTGATAACTTACTGATAAACTTAGAGAGGATAGGGATGAGTTTTCAAGTCATAGAATATATATTATAAAATATATAATACCTCATACTAGATACTCATAAAATGTTTGTTGAATTGAAGGAGCCTTTAATTGTATTCTTCTTTGCCTTCTAAAGTCTTAATTTATTTACACTGTAGATGCTAAGGAAAACTCTTAAAGGGTCTGAAAGTAAAGAACTGGCAGTAACACCTGAAACACCAGCGTTGGTGCCGTTTGGGGATGTGGTATGTATGAATTAAGCCTCAATAAGCTATAAATTATTTCTTACTTCATTTGATGACTGGTTAATGTTTATTATTTGGTATCAAAACATTATGTATAGAAAATGGTCCTCTGATAAAGATATTTATGAATTTTTCATTTTTAGGAGTCAGAAGCATTCTAATAATTGCTGAAATTATGGAAAACATCCTGATTCACTGAAAGAATGTTGTCTATGTTAGAAATTCCCAAACTCTAGTTACATCAGAATTACCTGGGATACTTTTTAAAAACAGTGATTCTTGGGCCCCACCTAAGATGTGATAACTTAGAAACTGAGACTGGAGTCTGGGAATCAGCATTTTTGTTGAACTCTTCAGATGATTATATATATTGTCAGATTTAGGAAAGTTTGAGTGAAAATTGATCCCACAACTCTCCCTCATCCAAAAATAATAAACCACAGAAACGAAAGCAAGCACACTCATCAGTCATACATGTACACACAAACACACAGCTGGGACCTAATATCCAGGCTGAGAACCAGAAAAACCTGTTTTCTCTTTTGGTTGCCATAGAGAGAGTACAGGCCGCGAGGATCTGTGTGCGTTTACGGCTGTCAAGTATTGTATTCTTTTACAGTTATCTGTACTTTCTGAACACCATGAGAAGAGTTAATGGGTATGAAGTGAGAGTTTTCTTGTCCTTCTTCTCTTCTCCTATCATATACTAATACATTTTCTTGAGTAAAAAATATATGATGAATTTAACACCAGCTTTTGGGGGGGGATAAGAATAATTAATGTATACTTTTTTTAATGACCATGGCCTACCTTTATTCATATGTAACACTTTCTTCCCTATTTCACAATCAAAGCTAGAGTATAAGCCTTCACTGTCTAAATCTAAACTTAGGAAAGGCTCTTTGAAATCACTTTTGTCCATAAACTATTGTGCATGTCGTTATGTTGACGTACTAATTTCTATAATCCATACTCTTGAATATGATTCTGCACCTCTGTAGAACTCACATTTTGAGGAATACTTCTACTTCACCCACAGTTCCTAACCTCATAGTTTGTATTTCCCTCATTTGAATTACATGTTGCTAGATATTAAAAAGCTTCTCCTAAGAGCCAGCTGGAAGTTTTGACAGAGAGATGTTTGGTATGTGACTAATGGCTCCTCTCAGTGCATGATTCAGCCACATCACCTCCTCTTTGAACGTTCAGCAATTTGG